TTCATTTCTCAGCAAAATTCTAAAACAGTTCTTTGTATAAAGGACATAAACTAAGAATTATTCATATAATTTGCATGTTACAGTTTACATATTAAGTAAGTCTACTTGACTTGAGCATCACATGTATGCAGACGGCTTGGTATGAATACCTGTATAAAGGTTATAAGAAAAGAAATTCACCTGTTTTGAAGGAAATGATTGCAGTTTTTGTGTCGACTGAAGCCTTCAGTAGTTCATTAAGAATGGGGTAATATATCTTCAGATGGGAACGGTTTCATTTTGCTTTTTTCCCCTAGGTTTCCTTCCGCTTTGTGATGCATTGAATTATTAACCCATTCTGTGTACTAATGGGTACATATTTGCTTTCATTCTGTAATCACAGACAAGCCTAAAACTTGCATACAAGAGGCTTTTTCAATCTTTAGTTAATCTTAGGAGGCAAAGTTTCCATGATAAAACCTCTGCAGATCTATTTTTTACCTCAGACAACAACTAAGACAACTATTACCGATTCTTGTCAGTAAGAGGATCCCTGACAGGGTGGATAATACTATAGGCAGTTATTATGTTTCTAAGTAGAAAAGTTCAGATCTGGGTATTGACTTTACCTCCAATTAAGGCCAGTTTGTGTTTTATGTATCTTCTTTGACATATAGTGGTACTGGAAATAATAATGACTTAATCACGTACACCTACTTCCTAAAAGGTCTGCTTCCACTGTTCTGTTCTATAGATATACAGCTGCAATTATGTTTTGGTCTGGTGCAGAGGGGCCATAAAGCTGTGGACCAGCATGTTTTTGTAGGCGCTGTATATATGTCTGTGGTGTGTAAGTCAGGCCACAGCAAGACTTTATGGGCGTTCTTATGCATTCCTCTGTCACTGAGGATTACTGTGTATAAGCTTTGTGTATCTGTGCATCTGCTCAAGTTTATTTGTAATAGAAATGTGTGGGCTTTTTATTAATGAGTCCATTACTTAAAATCCCCACTTGTTTTTCCTGGCTTTGTCCTTCCACTTGGCCTTGGTGAGAGCTAATTTTTGTTACATATATGTGTTTGACTGTTAGTGAAAACAGCAAAGTAGCCAAACCTGACCTTTCCCTGTGTGCATTGCAGCTATGATGCCTTATACCATTTTAGGTTGAGTTTCTTTTGTATTTTATACTCTTTACATTTCTTGCAATGTAAGCTGTTTTCTAATATGGTAAGCAAATTGGTAAGTGTTGTAAATTTCTGGGGGGGAGGGGAAAGGAGAGGGAAGGGGCACTTTCCACATAGTGCACCTTTGAGTGAAATTTTTGCTGCTTACTACATTGTCCATGGATGTTATGGGTTCCTGTAAGTGCTGCTTCAGTGACAGGAAATCCTGTTTTTTGTCCCTTCTTAAGAAAGCAAAAAGAACCACGAATTTTCTCAGCTGCAAAATCTGAGTTGCGCAACATTTGTGAACCACATCGTACATCTGTATGAAGCGAGTAATTGCTGAGAATAGACCAGGGAACCGGAAGCAAAAATCACCCTTATACCATGTCAGTGGTAGGTTAGGGGTTAAAATCTTCTGGAAAATCACTCAAATTGGAGCTTTTCCTCTTGAGAAGTCTTTACTACCAAATGTACATGTAAGGCTTAAGCAAACCTAAATCAAATTGTGAAACTATACTTTCATTTGGATTATTGTTTTTTTTTTTTCATTTGGGTATGTTGTTGATGCTGCATGCATGTGCCCCTGGACTTCCTCTTCTGCATCACCCATGAGAACATTCAAGGCTGAGTAGGGCCTCGTGATGTGTGCATGCTGACTGCTGCTCTTACTTTTCATAAGGGTTATTGCTTGCTCAGTAGGGTGCCATGAGTGACCCAATTTACAACCTTTATTTTCACCATTGTGGGCAGTCCTTATCTGAAATTGTTTATAAATCTGATACAGTGGATGAATTTCCTTTTTCCTAACCCTGTTTTGCCCATAAATAGTGTTCACCACATTAGTCATTAGGAAAGTTTCCTGCTGAGTTAAGCAGATGTACATGCTCTGCAGCATTTACTGCACCTGTTTTGGAGAAAGTTACAGTTTAACAGACCTCTTGCTGTATGGAATCTGATGGGATCAAGAATTTAGGTGTAGGATACCTTTGAAGTGAAGGATCCTAGGACTATGTAACTGCCTACAAACATCCATATATACCTATTTCACCTATATCCCTACAAGGGTGGCTGCACTGGTGCACGTCCCCAGCAAACACCACATAGATAATGATGGTTGCTGTTTTATAAGAAATGTCTTTATATTAAGTTGGTGAAAGACTTTCTTCAAGGATTCAGTGAAATGTGCTTCTAGCTGCCAGGACTGACAGATGCTTCCATGAGTAACTATGCTAGTTACAAAGTCTGTTCAGTAACTGGTTTCATGTTGTCCATGATATAACACAGTCACACTTTCTTAGTTGCTAGGATGCTTTAATTATGACACACAAAACTATGGACTCATGTTAAATATTTGTTTTACTCCAAACAACAGAATAAGCTATAAAACAGGCCAAAGATTGTTAGTTTTCTGTAAAAACTAGTATGTGAGTGAACAGATAGTGAAAGTAATAGCTGAAATGTCCATGGTAATGTTCAGAGGGGGAGTCTGCTTACTATTTGCACTAGCAGTATAGTGTAGCAGCAGTTACTTTATATCTACTTAAAGCCCTCTGCTCTTGGAATTATTTATACTGTTGTCAAAGCTGCATTCCTGATATTCCAAATAAAAAACGTGTAGCAACTTTCAGTAAACAGAGAAAATAGAACTCTGGAATAAAGGAAACAAAACTGACCTTACTACTTTTAATTTTAATCTGTTCAGTGCTGCCTCCAACTGAGTCCCAGGCATTTTTTGCAAAATGAGTTTTTAGTTTTATTTTAAAAAAATCATATGTATTTATATAGTGTTCTCTATAAGACCATAGTTCTTTTGCTTGTCTTTCATACCATATTGTGAGGGATTTACAGGGTTAAATAAAGTTAAGATAAATTTGCTTATGAAACAGCAGTGTTTTTTACTTAATACAATTATTTAAATGGTCAGTAACATTCCAAAGGTGAATACAGTAATCACAATTTTGTTAATATGCTATAATTCAATGCAAATAGCTTATATATACTCTTCCTTGTTTTTAATTGTTAGGCATTTGGAGGTAAAATAATAGCTTCCTGTTAATAAATGTATAGTTAGCCCTTATTTTCTTTAATAGCATTTTGCAGATTGTAGGTTTAAAGATTAATTGTGTTGCAGCTAGGATTTCACCTTCTCTCTGCAAAAAATTCACAATTAATAAATTATTCTCCAGCATTCCATGACTAAAAAGTTGGCATCTTCCTTATAATTATTGTAGTAAGCATATAGTCTGTGATCTAGCAAAGAATACATGCACATGTTTAAATTCAAGGATGTGAGTTGTCTCCTTGACTTCAGTGAGACTACTTAGCTTGAAGTTAAACAATACTTTAAGCATTTTACTAAACTGTGGCCATTATCAGTAGTTCCTCTGTTCCAGTGTGTCTGATTTAAGTAGAGAATGTTTTTTCAGTTCCAAAGGAAGCAAGTGAAATTCTAACCTTTGACTTTATTGGAAGTAGAATTGAAATGATTAGTATAGGAATAAGTAGACTAAATAGCAATGTTTTATGTATCTCAGCTCTACATTGGAGTTTCCTCAGAACTATCTCCATCAGTATGCTCTTTAATTTTTGTTCCAAGCTCTGAAGACACCTGTTTGTGTAGCATATTGAGCAAGGATTTTCTGAAAGACTCGCAAAGGAAAAAATAGATAAATGGATCTAAGCAGGCATTTAGAGATGTTAACCAGAGGGTGCTCTCTTTCATATAAAACAATGTGTTCTGAGCAGAGCATTCAAAAACATCTCTTGTTTGACTCAAGGTGTAGGGGATTCTGGTAAAATGGAATGGAACAAAACAAATAAAGAACACTGCAATAATAATAAAAACTTTCAAATTTACTGTCTTTCTAGAAACTTTCCCTGTGCATTTTGTTCTCTTATATGATTTGTACAGTTCTTTACTTATGAGCATGTAACATACCACTATGATAACCAAATTAACCCAGAAGATTAATTGGCAGATGTAGTTCACAATTTCATGCCATGTTAACCCAAAATCGGATTTCAAGAGAGCGCATTTCTTCACTTTTTCACGTGTCTGTTCCTTATTTGTCAAAATCATGTTAGGCAGGGAGAGAGCAAACATTGCTATCCAAATGACCACGGACAGAATCTTCGTGCTAAGAAGGTTGCTTGATGTTTTAAATGGTGTGACAGTTTTCTGGTAGCGATCAATAGTTATTAGACCCAGAAACAAAATGCTGATGTACATGGTGAAGTAAAATATGACTTGTGACACCCGACAGACGAATCCCCTCAATGTCCAAGGTGCCAGGTTTGCATCACTAAGAATTTTGAATGGAAAGGTCAGGATCATGAAGATATCTGAAATTACTGTATTCTTAAGGAAGATGATGAAATTGGATTTACTGGGGATTTGGAAAAAAACCCACATTGCCAGGCCATTCATGACAATGCCCACAAAAAACAGAACTGTGTAGAGCACAGGGAAAAGAACTTTACTGAATTGGTTGTCGCTGGTGCAGTTGATATCAGTTCTGGAGAAGCTCAAGTTGTGAACAGCTTTCATTTGTAGTTTGATATCTTTTCCCCTCTGTTAGAACAGAAAAGATGAGGATTATTTTGATATTCCTTTTATGAATATTATTAGGATTTATGCTAGCATAATTAATTATAGTTATCATTTCACATGGATGACAGACTTACAGATAAAGTGCCAAATTCAGAGGTGACATTGGTTTATATTGGTCAGTCTTAATTTACACCGACTCTAGAAGATCTTCTACTTTTGGTAGATTTGGATTCCCTTAAACCTTCTGAGGGCATGTCTGTAATGAATTGCAGCACCTTTGGCATAAGAAAACCAGTTTGGGTACCCAATAAGGATGATGTCATGGTGGTAAAAGCTTCAAAGTGGGCAGTAGAAGTCAGTGCAGGTTTCAGTATGTGCTTACATAGTTTGCTAAATTATATAGTCTTCATGTTGTTTAGCCTTAGTTAGATTCAGTCCATCTGCTAAGGGTGTGAGTAACTGATGCTGGTGCAGAATCCAATGGATCTAAGTCTAAATCAGGGGTAGGCAATTATTTGGGTTGGAGCGTTGCTTAGGGACTTTTGGTGAGCTGGTGTGGGTAGGGAGGAAGGAGGGGCATGACCTGGCTCAGGTCACAACAGCTCACCAGAACTCCCTAAGTGGCTCTGCCCCAGTTCTGTGGGCAGGGGCATGCTGGGAGCAGATTATGGCTCTGCCCCAGGACCTGGCCCCGTGTTGTCATCACCCAATGATCCCAGCCCTGGGGTCTCCATGGAGACTGACCCAGGACCCCTATGGGCAGGGCATGCTTGGCCAAGCAGATGGGATGAAGCCACAGGCAAGTGGGGAGCCACAGCTAGGACGTGGATGGGCTCATGGGGCGGTGACACTGGGGGGCCAGTAGCAGGGCTGCAGTCTGCTCCCAGTGTGCCCCTGCTTGTGCAACCAGAGCCTGTCACAGTGATGTGTGGGGATTGGATCATGGCTCTGCCCTAGGCCCCAGGCCAGTGCTGTGAACCGCCCCATAACCCTGGCCCCGCCCACCCATTCTGTTCCTGGAAGCTGCTCCCTGCCTGCCTGCAGCCCCATCCCAGCCAAGTGTGCTCTGCCAGGCCAGTCTCCATGGAGAGCCTCACCTGCCTGCTCTGTGTGGTGCCCCCAGTGGTGGCTGCAGTGTGGATGGGCCAGGGTACCTCAGCAGCAGGGCCAGATCTCGCAGTGGCAGTGACACTGGCAGTGGTAGTTAGAAAGAACCACTGCCACTGGGGCTGCTGGGAAGTGGAGTCCAGCTGCCCCAGCCCCGCTGTGTGCCCAGGGGTGGTGGGACTGGTCATAAGTGCCACAGCTTGGGCTGCACCCTTGGGCCAGGCAGGGCTGAAGAAACTGCTGCAGGCTATATAAAATCCCTTGGTGGGCCAGATGCATCCTGTGAGCCATATTTTGCCAATCCTGGTCTAAGCGATCGGATGCACAAGTAGAAGGCAGCAGAAGAAGGTGTATGTCATGCTGTGAGACTCCTTTCTCTGAATTTGTCCCACTGAGTATTCCTTTTGGGAATGCCACTTATATGCCATGTTTCCTAAAACAGATATTTTGTGGAGAAGGGTTAGCTCATCTTTTGTGTATTGTTTGTGCCACCTTGTGGATGACATAGACAATGCACCCCAAAGAGTTTGGGAAACAGGAGTTTTAGATATGACTGAACTTTCTACATCACAAATGAGTCCAGGAGCCAGGACTCTTATTTCATTTTGGCTTCTGACCACGTTTTTTTTCAAATGGGGAGGGGAGAAAAGAACCACATTAATGTAGAGGTGAGAGTAGTTGCTTTTTGGGGGTAGTCTAACAGTGATGATTGGATAAACAGCTAAAAGAGTACATTCACAAAAATTTCTGCCACCTTTTCTTTTTTCTCCACTCCCCCTCATCCATACTTCTGCCACAGTCCCCAAGTTCCACAAGATTTATAGAGCTTTGGGTTTATCTTTTGCTACCGTTTTATTTTTTGGATTGATGTTTTGATTTCTTTTTTGCCTATGCTTATTTCCCTACATGTTATCAGTTTTATCTCCTTTCTCTTTGGTTTGGGCTCATTTCTTTCCATGTGTTGACACCACCTTTTTAAAACTTCTTCTGAGATCGTCTTCTGTCTGTCTCTTTGTCCTCATAGCTATGTTACAGTTATTTGAATTTGTACTTATGTAGTGAGGGTGGAATGAGGAAATGAAATAACTTTTGGATTGTTCCTTTTGCTGCTGCTATTGCTGCTCAGGATTTGGGGAGGGAGTGGGTGGGGTCTGAGCCAAGCATACTGTTGTGGTTCCTTCACTAGCTCAGATGCTGGAAACTGGAAAAGATACATGAATTGGCTTCTCTGATCAGCTGTAGCAAGATAATGGGAGGACACTCAAGTTGTGATCTCTGTAGCTGATCCCCGTCCTCAGTACTCCATCTGGCCAACTGGGCTACTACTAAGGCATTTGTCAACTTGCTAGCTTCTGTGCTGCTGCACAGTCGCTTCTGTTTGGTGGAAGGAAAATTGTAGTGAATGTTCTGCAGCTACGTTGTCCCTGCAGTTAGGAAGTTTGTTTAGTGTTCACATACTGGAACTGTCCTACCTCACTTATCAAACTCTGTCTCATATTTTGGGCAAGAATGGAGACACCTGTATGCCAAGGAATGTGTTTTGCCTTCTGGTTGTCACAAATTGAAATAGAAGTTTGGATGTGCAGTTAGCAGACACAGAAGCATTCTCCATTCTCTGTTGCTGTGGATACCTGGGGAGCTTTCAAACCTAAAGCTTTTTAAGTAACCAGGCCCACCTCTTCACATGATGATCCCACAGCAAATCTACCTTTGGGGAAAAATAGACTATTGGTATCATAATATAGGAATGGACATCTGTTTCAAGCTTTAGATATGAAAACTGCACTTACTCAGGTTCATAGATAATTGGTTATAGAGTCTCAGCTATTGAGATTAAAGATTTAGCATTTCCTGAAGGCCAGAATATGAAATCATCATGAGACTGTTGGTTGGAAAACACAGTAAGCATCAAATGGTGGCTTATTACTAATACGTTTAATGTTGCTTTTCTTTGTCCGTGTCCAAGGTGGAAAAATGTGAAACAAGATGGGAAATGCTGCTAGAATTAATCTGGCAGGATGTTAATAGAAATAAATTATTTAAAGTAATGGATCTTGACAAGTCAAAATATTTACTAACAAATCCTTTTAAATAATTGTACATAAAAGATTGTTCATTTTCAGGAGAAGAGGTCTCCGAATGCGTATTACATTGTTGTCCCAGTCTACAGTGTCTGTGATCTGTGTTTCTTCACAAATAACTAGGAGTCTTCCTACTTTTTATGTTGGTTATATGCACCCACAAGTTGTACAAAATTATGATTTATCCCCTTTGCTGCAAAAAATATCTGAATTGATTGTGTTCTGGAATTAGGACTAATGTTAAGTTCTTGCTCGAGTTCTATTACAGACTATTTAATGGTAAAAATAAAGCTATCTTAGTTCAAGTTTTGTTTCAGTTTAGGAGCTTGTTTATTCAGTTATTAATAAAAGTTAGTAATCCACACTGGGTTTTCCAAGTGACTGATACAGATTTTGTGATTTTTGACACACAGTTAGTTATTCAGTGGTAAAGACAAAGTAGACTATGAGGAACTGCAGAAGGATCTGGCACTATTGAGTGAATGGGCAACTAAATGGCATGTGAAATTTAATGTGGCTAAGTGTAAAGTGATGCATATGAGCATAAACCTCACCCAGTAACCTAAACTATACCTACACTATGATGGGCTGTACATTTAACTGTTACCACATAGGAAAGAGAACTGGAAGTCACTGTAGACAGTTCACTAAAAATATCAGCTCAGTGCTCAGCAGCCATCAGAAAAGCAAACAAAGTATTAGGGATTATTAAGAAGGGAATGGTAAACAAAACAGAAAGTATCATCATGTCCCTTTATAAATCCATGGTGTGTCCACACCTTGAATTCTGGGCCCGCCCAGTTCTGATCCTGACACCTCAAAATGATGTAGAAGAACTAGAGCAGGTACAGAGAAGACAGTAAGCATGATTAATGGTATGGACGGACTTTCATGCGAGGAGGGATTAAAGAGGTTTGGCCTACTCAGTTCAGAAAAAAAGATGCTTGAAGGGACTTAATAAAGGCTTACAAAATACTAAATGGTGAGAAGAAAGTAAATAGAGATTTATGATTTACTGTCTCTTTTAATACAAGAATTCAAACAAAATGAAACTAGTAGGTAGTGAGTTTAAAACTAATGAAAGGAAATTTTTCACATGGTGTGTTATTGAAAAGTGGAACTTGTTACCACCAGATGTTATAGAAGCTGACAGTTTAGCCAGATTCAAGAAGGGATTGGACAGATTCTAAGAAGAAAGGGGCATCAGTAGCTGTTGATTATGGGAGTTATGGGTGCAGCCTCTGAATCAGAACTTCTTTGACCTTAAATGCTGGAGGCTGTAAGTGAGAGAGAAACAGTGGAAAAAACCCCTGGTCATACCTTGTTCACTCTCCCTTTCAGCATCCATTCTGCCACTGGGTGACAGAGGATACTGGACAAGATGGACCTATGGTCTGAGCCAGTAAATGGTAATTCTTATGTGATGGTCTTCTATATAAAAAAACATGGATCTGATCATATTTAATCCAAATCTTTTGAGAATTGAGAAACATCAAATTGAATTATAATAAGAACAGTTTTTAGGCACTTTAATAATACTATTCTAAAATGGTTATATTGAGATAATATTGATGTATTAATGTCTTCATTTAAAATGAGGCATGTCAGACACTCAAGGTTTTAAGAGATGGTATGGACATACCATCTCACATACACTCTCACATATACTCTATGAATAGGTGCTCGTTTTTATGTCTGCACAGATTTTTATCAGCTGGTTCATAAATTTCTTTCATTTTTTAAAGTAAAAATAGCATTTTACTGCCAACTTAAATCATTATTAAATGGCTATGCACAACTGTGAAGAAGCAGAAAAGCGTTTTCAAAAAGAAAATTACCTTTGCACTGTAGACAAATGCTGAAAAGTGAAGTCTTCTCTGTGATAGAAGGTTATTATTGCTAGCAGTGAGTCATTTGTGGTTTCTTTTTCTTGCTTTTTTTCTTTCCTTTTTCTAAGCCTGATGCTTATTAGTTTATAAGAAAATCTTCAGATCAAAAGAGCAAGAGAGTGAATGGGGAGGAAGCAGTACATTTTAGCCTTAGTATTTAGGACAGCCTCTGGCTTGGAACTGTTGTCTTCAATTGCGTAGAGAGTTAGTCTCATGGTCTGAGTGACAGTCTCAGTGCTTCTGCTTCTATTTCCTGTAAAAGGGGGAAAAGAGAATTGGTTAAAAAAGGATTAGGTGCATTATCTTCCTGCTTTCATCCCAGTTGCAGAAATATTTGATAAAACTACAGATCATGTATCTTATAAAAGCATTTACATACCATGTACTTTGTGAAGCTTTAGAAAAGTTCAGAATAACATAAGCATCTTTGTCTTGTGATGTGATTTATGTATGTGTATCATTAGTGAAGATGTTCAGGCTTTGCTTTTCCTATTATTTGCTTAGAAGTAATGTGTACGTGATTTGAATATATACATGATTTGTTAAAGTGGTGATTTATTAGCTTCAACTAGCAATATATTACCTTACAATTTATTGATTCTTCTTGTATTTTATTTTCAGATTTCTAATGTATTTACTACAAGTTAACATTATATAAAGCCCTTTGTAAGAGGAAGGAATTTAAAGAAACATAATACAAATTAGAGTATACATTTTTATTGATTTTTAAAAATCTGTACTTACTCAAACAATGAAAATAAAATAGCTTGCAGTAACAGGTCAGTTAGCTGACAGTTGTACACTATTGCACAAATCAATTTAACTGAAAATATTTTTTTAAAAAACTAAAAATTCAAGAATGCAAACACTGGTATTGTATAAAAGGGGCGGAACTACATTAACTTTTACTCGCATATGAATAGTAAATACAGATTTTTAAAATCAATAAAAACAAGTTTGTGTGAATTAAATTACATGTAGCCTCATCGTCATCTGTAGGACCTTCTATAAACAACTTGTGAATTCTAGTCGGTGTCATGACCTGTATATATTAATGATCAAAGTACAAAATTAATTTTGTTTTCTGTGCACTGGTGGTGGTTTTTGTTGTTTTTTTTTATAAAGATTCCTCTGTGTTTTCACCTTAGCTGTGTACTCCCATATTAAGGTGAAATGCATGGGAAAAATCTGGTGGTGTGTTTTTGTTTTTTTTGTTTTGTTTTGTTTTGTTTTTTTTTTTTTGTACCTCACTGAGAGCTAGTAAGAGAACAATGTTAAATTTAAATGCACTGGGGAAAAGGACTTGTTACCTCCCAGGGAACACAAGTTATCCAGTTCTGGATTCTAGATGGGTGGTGAACAAATAGCAGGCTAACTGATGGAAGTGTGAGGCAGACCAGAGAGATGGGGAATGTGATGGGCAGAAAATGGAGGCTATAAAAAAGGGGGACTAAAAGCTGTTAAAAACAAACAGCAAGCAAAATGGGAAGGAGCCTGCTCCCTTCACTGTTTTCCCTGTCCAGCCCCGAGAGATTCTTATCAGAATGCTAATGTTGCTAAAGAGCTGTGAGGATACTGAAGCAAGGAAATGAGCACAGACTTGTCTTAATTTTTTTCTCTCTCCGCCTATGCATATAAAGTATTTGGGGGTGCTGAGTGTGTGCACGCATGTGCGTATGCACCCCCCCTGCAGCAGTTAAGTCTGTGGGGGAAGGGCAGGGGGAGGGAGTGGGGCTGGCATGGGATGGAGCTGAGCCTTGTGGCAGGAGGTGGGGTAGAGCCACTGGCCAGTGCTGCACTCTGAGTGGCTCTGCCATTGGCTCTCCCCTGCCTCCCACCACCAGGCTGCACTCTGAGAGGCCCTGGCTTTCCAGCACCTCTTGCCACTGAGCTGAGCTCCATGGGACTGGCACAACTGGTCGGAGCGGAGCCCTGGCTCTCACCTGCCTCCTGCCACTGGTGGGAATTGGGGAGAGACAGGGCTGTGCTCTGAGTGGCTCCGTCAGCCCCATTGAGCTCAACCCACCATCCCAGTGCTGCTAGACTCCTCCTGTAATCCTTGCAGCAGCAGCCTTCTGTCATTCTGAGCACTGATCTGGGGGTCTGCACCCCTGGGAGGAGTCCAGCACTGCCCCATAGCTCTCCAGGGGATGTGGGCCCCCAGATCTGCATGCGGGATGACAGGAGATTGCTGCTGCTGCCTGGGGCCAGTGGCAGCACCAGTCTTCCCAGTGCTGGGTGCAGCCCGCAGCCAGCGCTGTTCCGAGGCAGCAGTGGCAGCCTCCTGTCATCCCAAGTGCAGATTCGAGGGCCCACACCCCTTGGAGGTGTCTGGCTCATCCCCACAGCCCTCCTGGGGGTGTGGGCCTCCAGATCTCCATGCAGGATGACAGAAGGTTGCTGCTGCCGGCAAGTGAGATGAGTTTTGCGTGTCAGCATCTTGAGGTGCAGTTTCCCAGAAACCCCTGGACCTATCTCCTTGAAATATGTCAGGCTTCATGTCCTCAGAAGGGGCTACCATCCCGACAATTTTCATCTGAATTGGAGAAGAAATGACAAAGTTATTGGCATTTTCGTGATTCCCCATTATAGCTTATAGGTGAAACAGCGAAACAGTGTTGGAACAGTTTCGGCAAAACAAAATGGAACAGGGCTTCGAAACGAAACAAAACCAAACAAAACATTGAAACAAAACACTATCCCACTGAAATGGCAAAACAGTAGTCGAAACAAAATGGTGATGTTTTGCACAGCCCTAAGAATTAGTTGGACCTGCTTACAGGGTGCTGATGTGAGTTTCGTTCTTAAGTAGCACTGCCTTTAAGTTTGGGTTGTCAAGGTGCCATTTGAGAAGGAGGCAAAGGTGTAGTAGCTCTTTCTTCCTGCTTCAGGATCTCTGATTCTAAATATTCAGTATATGAGAGAGAGAGAAAGAGGGAGGACTGTCATATAGTATGGACTATAAGAGTATGTGTACACATCTGTTTAAGTCATCTGAGTTTCAGAAGTGTTAAGCATGCAGGAGCTCTAGCGTTGGCTAAATTAGTTTGTACTACTTGTACCAAGCTTGTCCAACATATGGCCCGTGGGCCACCATGTGGCCCTCCAAGCTGTTGTCTGAGGCCTGAGGTGCTGCACTGGCAAACAAAAATAAACACTGTACTTTTGTTTTGGGGGGATGATGTGATACCGCTTCCTACAAGGTCTTTGAATATGGCTTGCTGGCCCACTGGGTGATAAAAAGTTCATGATCTGGCCTCACATTCAAAAAGGTTGTACACCCCTGACTTATACATAAGTAAATTCAGATTGTATTTATACTAAGAGTAAGAGTGCTTTTGTTATTCCCTCAAGTTCTGATCAATGAGAGATGACCAAAATTGCTTCATTGTTTATTTTTCAGGATGAATCTTCCAGTCATGAATGTAACCAGCGCATGATTCTTCTTTATGGTGTTGGCAAAGAACGTGATGAGGCAAGGCATCAGCTAAAGAAAATTACCAAAGATATCCTGAAGATCCTGAATAAGAAAAGTACTACTGAAATGGGTGGTAAATGCCTTTGTGTTGCTGTTTAAGACTGAGCTTTCCATAGTTTGCCGTACACGATGTGTAGAAGAAGTTCTTGTTAGAACTATGCAGATTTCTAATGTTATTTGGCTTTCATCCCCTTCACAGTTTATCAGCCAAATACTGATACTATTCCTGCAGCATGAAATGCCTACCGTAGGTCTGCCTTATAACTGCAGCATTACAGTTTTTAGTATTGTATAAATTAAGTTACTATTTTGAGATGAATAACTTAGCTGTAAAAAAAAAATAATTTTGTTCAGGCTAAAACAGGTGTCAGCCTGAGAGAGAGAGAAAGATTCATTACCTTTGTAGAAAATTTGTCAGAATACTTTTCGACTCTTTCTACTCATGTTGCTTTTTTTTTTTTTTTTATTTGAATAAATTTAAAAATAGGGTTTCTCTGAAGTTATATGCTGTTATATATCATGAACTGTATTTTTTTCAAGCACACTGGAAGACTGGGACAAATTGTCTTATGCTATCTTGAACCAAACATTTTAATTATTAATGTCTTTTGAAGCAGTAATAATGCAAAACTACATGGGCTCCATTAAATATGAAATGACCAAAATAATGTTTTATCTGTTAAGTTGGGGATGAAGGGCAAAAAGCCAGGAAGAACAAACAAGAAGCATTTCCAACTCTAGAGACTGTATTCACAAAACTGCAGCAACTGTCATATTTTGATCAACATCAGGTGACATCTCAGGTACTTGACTTGCATAAAATTGTAGCCATTTAAGCTTCATTATTTACAAATTGGGTCAGAAGAAAAATTGTACTAAGAAATCTGTGTATTAGTAATTTTAAGTTCACTACTCTAAAAGCAAGGAAAATGCTGCTTCATTATCTTCTTCAGTATGTTTGGGTTTTTTTTTTTTAAATGTTAACAAAGCTGTTATGAATGTCATTAATATATGCTGTTCATCTGAAGTATTAGGAAGCTCATTGTTTGTGCATTTAGACTGACAATTAACTACAATATTTATTGCTTGCTTGAAAAATGAATGCGGCTTTTCTGTTCATCTTTTTTTTTGTACAGGAGGTCACTCAGGTTAGGGGCACGAGTTATCTTTAGTCTTGAAAAATTATGACATCTTTTCTGTGTTTTCATCTAAAAATCTGTATGTGTGTGTGTTAAGATAATCACTTAAATTTTTCTTAGAGTTAAAACTTTTATTATTATTATTTTTACCATCCAAGTTCCTGTATAAAGTTAGAAATCACAGGGAATGCTTAAACTTGCTGGTGGACCTTTCATGGATATTTTTATCTGAAATTGCAAGTTTGTTTCCTTTCACAATGTGCTAATATGTCAATATAGACTTGCAAAACTTAGTCATCAGGAGAAAAGTTAATTATTACTATGCTGGAATTAATGATATCTTTAAAGATTGGTTTTAACTATATTTTACTATCAAAACATTGTAAAGGGAAAAAAAGGGAAAATCTTATAATTTTGAAAATATTTTAGATTGCATACTTGAGGCAACATTCCTTTGGATGGTTTTATTCTATTTTAAGATAGATTGCTTTGATTTGTCTTTAGTATAATCCAAACAACTTAACAAAACAAATATGAATTAAAAAAAATCACAATGCAAAAAATAAAAAAAACACCAATTTACCCACTCTCTTAAATGTAAATTATGCCTTTTTAAATACCACATAAAATTAAAATTACAAAAAATTATAAAATGAAATTACAGAATTGAAGAAAAAGTTCATAGGAAAGTCATTTAGTTCCTAGGAAAACCTGTCTTGTTTTCCTCCAAT